CAGTCTCAAGTTGTGCTGCACGTGTCATTTTCTGGAATATCACGCTCGTCTTCAATGATCATGTTGTGCAAAATAATACACGTCTTCATGATGTAATATAAGATCCTCATCACTCCAACCTCTAGCCGGCACGCTGACAATATTAAATCGTGCTTGGAGCACTCCAAATGCCCTTTCGACATCTTTCCGACATGCCTCCTGCATCCTCGCAAATAGTTGTTCTTTGCGCCTTGAGGTTGAGATATTGTTTTCACAATCGTTGCCCAACGAGGATAGATACCATCAGCAAGATAATACCCCATGGTGTATGCGTGATTATGATGTGTTAGTTGGCAGCAGGGCACGTCCTCTAGTTAATTCAGCAAATAAAGGCGACCTGTGAGAACAGTAATATCATTTAGAGAGCCAGGCATGCCAAAGAAAGTATGCCAAATCCACAAGTCATAGGAGGCAACCGCCTCGAGTACAACTGTTGTTTGTGATAGTTCCAGTGTAAGCACCGGCTTGGGCACTTGGACATTTATCCCAACGCCAGTGCACTACAATCCAAACTCCCTAACATTCCAGGAAACCCGCGTTGCTCTCCCTCTGCATAATCTGGCGACATCTGCTTCATTTGGAGATCTTAAGTAAACAGCTTCATAGGTAGCAACAATTGATCTGGGTAAAAAATTTAAGGCGGCAATTGCAGTACTTTCGCCGATTCTAATGTACTCGTCTACAGCATCAGCAGGCCGCCGTATTGGAGGATTCCGAAGTGCTGCAGTCATCTTCTGTATACCGGATAATCCAGAGAGCACCAGTGGCATCACGGGTTTGGATGAAGTACTCATTCATTTGTTGAATATTGTGGTAAGATACTAACAAACAATGACCGTCTCATTCGAAAACGTCTTCGGAAATATTCTTCTTGGATAGACAGGATTATCTGCAAATAATCTCTATAAAATTTGTTCGTCGCCTTTACCCTCTCACGATTAATGTATCGACGACCACTTGTGGAACAACACGTCTGGTTTTGTGTTTAGGCTTAACATCTGTAATCTTTTTGTTGCGCTGTGAATAGTTGCATCATGATGATATCATCATCAGATGATGAAGATTCATCAAATCTCCATTTAATATGGCTTTACTCAAATTGTTCATTGTAAATGGATGGGTGAGTAGGTGAATATGAAAATTGTAGAAAATCTTCTTGTAGATACAAGATTTTGAAGATATAAAATGATAGGTAGTGAATATGAAAATTGTAGAAATCTTATGTTATATTATAGAGAAAATTGTGGGTGGTGAATGATGGATGGTTGTGTGGGTGGTGGATGAATAATGGATGGTTGTTGGGTGAGTGGATGGAATAATGGGTGGTTGTTGGTGGGTAGATGAATGATGAGTTGTTGGGTGGTAGATGAATGATGGCTGGTTGTTGGGTGGGTGGATGAATAATGGGTGGTTGTTGGGTGGGTGGATGTGAGTGAATGAATGCTAGGTTAATAATTTGATGGTTGGTTGGTGGTTTGATTGTTGGGGGTAATTGGTTTAAAATTAATTTTTATGTGTAGTTAAAAAAATTTATTAAATATGTAGTATATGTTTTTTGGTGGGGTGAATTAATCAAATAAATTTTTTTTTTCAATTTTTAATTTTTTTTTAATTTTTTATATTGTCTAGTTGGAATAATATAAATATATAATTTTTTAACAAACAGATAAAAAAATGTCACAAAAGACAAAAAAATAAACAAAATAAAATCACAAAACTATATCCAAACAACACCTACAAAGTTGGAGGGAAAGTTGGTTGGGATTTGCTAAAAATAGCAAACAACCATTGGAGCACCATTGCTATAATTTGACAAAATAACACTATTCATTGTCAATTTATAACAATAGCAACCCAATATAGCAACAACCATTGGAGATGCTCTAAGAGTTGTGATGCTAATTATGGAATAT